GGAGATGGGAGGGTGAATGAGGCTGGGGGAGTCAAGGCAGGAAGGGTGTGATGGACTTACCAGGAGAGAGGTCTGCAGATAGGAGAGAGGCCTGCGGGGGATCCTGTGGGCCCAGGGAAGCCCAAATGAGAAGGATTTTTATTGTTGAGAATTTCATACATGCATATTGTTTTTGATCAAATTCACACCCCTTTCTGCCCCTCTTATTCATTCCCTATCACCCACCACTCTTCCCTCCTAACTTCATGTACTCTTGTATTCTAGTTTGTTTTTCCATTGCTGTGACAAAATGCTCTGACTGATACCAATTTGAGGAGGAAAGGGTTTATTCAGCTTACATCTCCCAGGTCACAGTTCATCAGGGAGCCCAAGGTAGGAACTCAGGGCAGGAACCTGGAGGCAGGAGCTGAAGCACAGGCCATGGAGGAATGCTGCTTACTGGCTTGCTCCCCTGGCCCCTACTCAGCTTGCTTTCTTATGCAACACAGGCCCACCTGCCCAGGGATGGCACCACCCTCACTGGGCTGGGCCGTCCCACATCACTCATCAATCAAAAAGATGCCCCATGGACATGGCCACAGGCCAATCCAATGAAGGCAATTCCCCAATTGAGTCTTCCTCAACCAAGGTGTGCCAAGTTGACACTAAAGCTATCCAGCATATCTTGTTTTTAAGCCATTGAGTCCACTTAGTGCTGCCAGCATGTACAAATGGGAATTTCTAATGCAGTGTGTGTCCTTAATAGTAGCTGATGAAAATGCCCTGATAAAAGCAACTTAGGGGAGAAAGGGTTTATTTTGTCTCACAATCTATCATAACAGAAAAGTCACAGACCAGGAGATAACCAACAGACTTTCTTTGAGAAGAGATCTGCAGAGGTAAGGTTTCTAGTTCAAGAAACCATAAAGCCTATGGTCCACTTACAGGATGGGGTGTGACAGGACAGAGAATAGGAAAAAGGATTTAAAATTGTCCTTTTTTTGCCCACAGTCAGACATTGCTAGAGGTAACCAGGAAAATAGGGTTAATGGTCAATTAGGTGATCAGAAATTATCTCTTGTAGTTAGCCATTACTGGGGGTCAGGACAGAAAGGAAAAGAATCTAGAATAAAATTACTTAATTCTAGGAACCAAGTTACTTTGGCTTCAGGAATTGACATTGTTTTGCTAAAATAAGAGAGTTTTACAAAATGGCATGGGCCTGGTAAACACCTTTACCAAATTACCAAAAAAAAAAAAAAAAAAAAAGAAAGAAAAAGAAAAAGTGTGTGTGCTTAGAAGGTTGTGATATACACGTGACTGTCTTCTAGGTGGAATAAAGGACCAAGTCTCAGTGGTTCCTCTTTCCCCAAAGACCTCTCCCTTTCCAATAGTAATATTGGGAAGGAGAACTCCACAGAGACCCACACTGAGTTAACAAATTAAACACCATCTACCTGAAGGTAGTTTAAATCAAGATATTATAGGAAGCAAGTTGTGCTAATGAGAAGCCTAAACATGGTTCCCCCACAGCCTGTGATAGAATTATGTTCTTGGTTGAATTTCTATCAAAACGATTCACAGCTTCTAGTGCTGGATGGTCATTCCTGGAGGATAGGGCTTCCCTTCTAGTGTTACAGGAAAGATGAAGGGAAACTGGGGACATTTAGAGCTGGTTCCCCTTTTCAATGAACAGAGGTTTTTTTGTTTTGTTTTGTTTTTCTCATCTTTATCACACTTCTTTGCTTTGGAATGCAAAATTTTCCTTTCTCTTTATCTTGATTAGTAGGAATGCAAAAGGAGGAGGAGGGTATTTCATTGTAAAATCTCCATGAAAACGCTGGATATTCATGGACACATAAGTACATAAGGGAAAATCATGCCAACCCAGAGCTAAATAGGTAAAGTGGGTGCACTCATCTAATGTCTTTCTTCCAGTGCTTACTGAATCCTCCAAAAGTACTTTCTCTTTTTACTTAACAGAAGGGGGATTAGAACAACTAGAATGAATGCCAGCCTTGGTCTTCCAGTGCTTACTGAATCCTCCAAAAGTACTTTCTCTTTTTACTTAACAGAAGGGGGATTAGAACAACTAGAATGAATGCCAGCCTTGGTCTTCCAGTGCTTACTGAATCCTCCAAAAGTACTTTCTCTTTTTACCTTGGAAGAATCAAGGCTTTTATTTTACAAGACTACACTAACCAGTGTGACTTGGTTTGCAGTGTATTTCTTTTTTTATTATTCTGGAAAGAACACCATTCTCTTTTCAGAACATGTGACAGTTTCATCTTGGCAAATTTTCAGTATGCAATTATTATCATGGATGCCATAGAAAATAAGGATAAGTTCTCCTTAAACTATACTGCACAATAATTAACTGAGTCCAGAAATAATTGCTACAGTTCTTGGAAATGTGTGTTTATACTTAGTATATTCGAGGGACAAGCACGTACTTTTTAAGATATTTTATTTATTTTTTATTTTAAGCATATGAGTGTATTGCTTGCATGTAGGTAGGTGCACCCATTTCATGCGGTGCCCAAGGAGGTGAGAAAAGGGTGTCAGATCCCCTGGAACTGGAGTTGTAGGTGTTTCTTATTAGAATTCTCTTCCTTTAAGTATGTAAATAAAGACTATAACTATTGATTTTATTTTGTGAGTTATAACCTAATTCTATCATAATTTTCTTTGTTGCTCAAATTGCTTCAACTTTGGCCAAAGGGATCAGCTTCATCTTGACTCCTGTCTTTTCAACAGGTCCCGTCTTATCTCAAATATTGCCTTATTTTCTAGCACCACAGGTTTTTGTCTTTCTCTTAGAATCTCTCTCTTCTCCAAGGAGTCCTGATTCTTTTTCTTAGGAAATAGCATTCAGAATCAATTATCTGGGCATTAACCACACTCTTTTCCATTAATGTGTCATTGCTTCTAGAGGTGGAAACAGAGATAAAATGCTGAGCCATGCACATAGATGTATGCCATTTCC